CCCGTCATCCAGCATAGCGTCGAACGCCTCCGCATCGACTATCAACCGGAACCGCAATGGAGGTGTGCCCGTCGCATCCAGCGCCGGCCTGTCCTCCTCGAACAACAACAACAACGGCTCCCTGGACACGTTCAGAACGTTCAATCCGGTGACGAACTCTTTCGCTCGTCTTCCCTTCCCGGACGCTCTACTGCGGCAGTCGGCGGCGGCACAACAGTTCGCGGCGGCGGCCGCCGCTGCAGGGGTGCCGTTTGTCTCCGACCATGACCGCGACCACTTGTTCCGCTTTCCACAAGTGTGCAGCTCAATCGTCACCTCGTCGCCATCATCTCAGAGTTTCTCGTCTTCGACCAGCCTTCAGGAGCGTTCGTCGTTGGACGCGGCCCAGCAACCAAGCGACAACCCTCTTGCATCGATGATCGACCTCGAACGGGCGATGAGTAACCGGCTGCTGTCGTGCCTCGACTCACCGACCACCGCCAACTCCCTGTACTCCAGCTTCATGCAGCGCGAGCGGTTGGAGCTGGAGCAGCGCAATCGACTGTTAGCCGCCGCTGCTACCGCCGACTGTCCCCTTGGTAGTCTTCCTCCGGATGCTGGCCACTACGCACACCCGGCAGCTCTGTTCGACAACCTTCGATTGGCGATGCTGACTGGCGGTTCCGGCGTCGCTGGTGCCGGTGATCCGTTGTTCTGCGCAGGTGGAGGTGGAGGTCGTGCCGCCGGCGGTATGCAGAACTTTCCCGGCGCCGCCGGTGCTATGTCCCCAAATTTCCCGTTGCATCTGCTACAGGCGCCCGCACTACCTCCGGTGCTCAACGCCCCCAACCTGAACAACAAATTTGCAGCCAGTCCGTTCAGTTCTACCCTCGAGCAGCTCGCGGCTAAGCAGAAGCGGGACGCACAGGCGGCTGCGGTCGCCGCCGCCTCGGTGCTATCCTCTACCTCCCAGAACCTACCCAGATAACTCTGCGATACGCGCGCAGCAGTTCTGATCCTCTTCCGCGAAACAGCAGCAGCAGCAGCAACAGCTTTGTGCCACTGCCTGAATGGTGACAACGCCTTTCGGCTTTTTACTGTCCTCATCCGATGCCGTCCCTGCTGAATGTGAACGGGCGGCACTTTTTACCACCTATACCATCTTTACCCATCATCCGCCCAGGAAACGGCGCTCTTGCGCCACTCACCGTCAGGGTGGTGGTGTTCGTCGGCGGCAGTCTGAACGAAGTACGTGACATGTGGCCCAAAACAAAATCTTTGCGCGCGCGCGCTGGCTATTGCTAATCTTCTCATTCGCGTCTGTATTTGCCTACGAGTTATGATGTACCGAGATTGTTAAAAGACGATATGCAATGTTGTGATAAAAGCCATTTTAGAGCCATGTTGGTACGCTTTTTTAATGTTATTTTTTCAACACTTGTTTAACAGTGTAGAAAGCGGTTTATCCGCATCTTCGAAAACGCAATTGTATGCCCTACAATAAATCGGAAGCGCTGTTTGTAAAGTTATGTGAAGCAATATAAAAATAAAATTTGCTGGCATGTTGAATTCATATCTTATATGGAGCGAGTATAACACGCATTGCGGTCAATTATTTCTGTTAACAACAAATGTCATTGGTTGTCTGTGTGGCTAGCAGACGATGAGAACCAGAATCTGGCAAACGACCCTATAGTCCAAGTTTTATTGCGGCCATGCATTAACTGTAGTGCTGACCTGAATTCCAGCTGGCCCGAACCACCGAAATCGTCTAATCCGGTTCTGGCAGGTCGACTAGACCAGACCAAGGAACGCATTACTTCTGACATCCATTCCCAGGAAGGTGTTTTGCCGATTTCCAGGACTCCGGTCCGAAGACCAATCGGTTGTCTCGCGTCTAACCCCCCACGAGTTATACGCGTTTTCATCTGATGTTGGTCACTTCCGGCCATATTACAAATTTGAAAAACTGTCGTTGGCTGTGCGTCGTTTTGTTAGTGATTATTTTCGAATAGTTGCGGTTGCAAGTTTCTATGTAATTTGTTAGCAGTTATCCTCTTCTTTCCTGTTGGTTAGTGAGTGTATGTATGATCCATATCAATTTGAAGCTATGTAATTACATTAGAAAAATTCACAAGTTTTAAATATATTTAATGTGGTACCGACGTGAGGTCGTTTAAGGTAATGCAAACTGGTATCAAAGTATGTTTCTCGCTCTTTTCGAGCTGTTTTTGCGACAACGTCCTCGCAGCCGTTAGTGGCTAGTTTCGATCTCGTAGTCCTAGAAAATGATGTTTCCAATTAGTGTTGACTGTGGTTACCTCTGGTGCCACATCTTCGCTGTGTAGTCCAGCTTATGCGAAGGAATGTAATAAAAGCAAGGTTGTAATCGGTTGAAAACTGCGTTTTTCTTAATGCGAATATCCGTTGCAGAGCGTCTTAAATTGGACGACGGGTTCTTGAGTCAATCGCATTAGGTTCTATTTTTAACACTTATTTGTCTAATGCAAGCAATGATCACTAACCACTGTTTTTGATTACTTTTATATCAGTCGTTTTCAATGGCCACTGATTCTTGGAATCGCGGAGGCAGACTTCACCATCATAGTTTCTCAAACTTTCCCGATTTTACACAACTTTTGGCAAAGAAAAGCACGAGTCTGCAGTGGAGTTGTTCGATACGCTGATCTGAGGTTTTTAACATAGGTCGCTTTGCGCGTTGCTGTGTGACCAAATCATCTGTCTCGTGACTTCGTCTTCGTCATGGGAGCAACAAGAATGCAATTCGACGCTCTTCTAACTTTCTCTATTTTCCGCCTTCTGACTAAATAATTTGTTCAATGGGTCATCCCCGCTTGTTCTTGAACGACCAGTTTAGAGCTCCGACAGAACCCAGTTTGTAATTCTCGGCGTCCACCCGTCATTTCTCAGGGGAGCCATATTGCCGACCACGTACCCAGTGCATTGTAGAAGGCAGAAATTGTGACCGTTAGTACTATTTCTGTTGAATTTTGGCGCTCGGAATGTTACCTTTGAAGGACACGGCATACTCTTAGCCCGATTGTTCTGCTGGGGCATCAGTTTGTTCTGTGGCTTTAGTAGCAGACCAACATTCAGCATAGTAGATCATTGTCGTTGAATGGTTTAATCGAACCATTCTTCCTTCTCCAACATGGGGAACTCACTATCTAATAATATTTTAACGCGATTAAAATCAGCCCTTGTAACTTCGATCTGCTGGTTACATGTCTAACGAGTTAATGCGGTCATCTGGACTGTCATGGTATGTATAACTGGTGAGTCCTTCGCCATTCACCTAGACAGAGCCCTCGTGCGATGTTCCTTGCACATCTATTTCGTTTCGAAGAGACTGATCGCCAAAACGATCGTGAGCACTTCTTGCAATTATTTAATCTTCTGTTGGAACTGCATTGTGCCCTGCATGAAGGATGAGAAATCATCCTCAAACAACAGGCGCGTTTGCTGCTTTCCATCAAGATTGATAACTTCGCACTAATCCGGTCAATTTAGGACCTTGGCGAAGAGCGCTCGCTTGATGTATTTCCATGGTGCATTTTACGATTGATATTCGTGCAGTATGGTTCATTGGACAACTTGATGCCAGTCATGCAGCCGGTGTTCAATTCCTCGATCACACTGATGTAAACGAGGTCTGTGTCATTCTCATGTAAGGCACAGTTGTAGTTTCATCCAGTCGAACGAGTTGTATTCGATTAAAGCAAAGCATAGTGGTACTTGATATTTTCTGCACTTCTCCGTAAACTGCTCAATGACATTTGTTTGGTCAACGGTAAAAAACCTCTTTGGAGAAATAATAGTATGCTTAAGACTCTTGTAGTGTTCTTCCGCATTCTTATGTTGTACCTGTTCATCGTTACTGTACGTTTGTTGTCAATGCTGCATGTTACTGGGTTCTGTTTGGCCACGTAAACGGTGAAACACTTAAATGGTTATCATGTTCTTCGA